AGTCCAAAGCTGTGCTAGAAAATCATAGATACTGCATTCCTGAGTTTGAGAATACGGACCAACAGTATTTTTTCTAAGTATATAAGCACAAATCAAAAATAGTTCTCAGGGTTTCCTTTGTGTTAGAAGGCTGAGGCTGGCTCCCTTCTTATCACTCCTGCTCACCTCTGCCATCTATGTTACTGCACTGGAGTTTTTTAAAGATCACTCTGGAGTGTTGACTACCTTTTCTATGAAAATCAAGGAGGAACAGCCTGGAAACTCTTGCACAAGTCTCACTGTGGAAAATGTTCTTTCAATACATGAAACAATGGTTATTTTTTAGTAATGTAGTTGTGTTTTTAATTTCAAATAGTGGGGGAAAACATCACTAAGAGACAATAGTACAGGCTATTTTAATATATTTTATTACGGGCTATAAAAATATCCAGAAAGATAAAGAAATGGGATGCAATGATTTATGTCCTAATATGAAGAACTTTCTTTCACTGCATTGTTTTCTTCACAATGGCCTTCAAATCACAGGAGGCAGAGATGCCGTGTCATTTCCTCTTCTTTTATTACATGCTGCAGAATTTCTGAATCAGTACCCCACCCTCAGTCTTCTCATTTATAAATCAAATGCATTTTCAATCCATTGTTCAGAGGGAGCGTATTTTTTTCTGTTCCACAAAGAGGACTTTTGCTCTCACTACAGGAGGAGAAAAAAGGATTAAGGCAGAAAACTAAGTATCATTACCATTTTCTAATAAAAATATATATCAGACCATGAGCCCTCTCTTTTGTTTTACTTTCCTTTGACATGGGGATGGAGTTGACTTGCAAGCTCAGCTCCTTGATCCCAGAGGCCAGAAAAGACCAGAGAAAATGGTAAGGAAAAGAGGAAAGGCCCAGCCAACCAGTGGCATCTTTGGTACCCCAGGTCAATGAATGTGAAATATTCAAATTTAAAAAGAAAATTATGGGCAAAAGATGGAAAACACTTGATGTCATCACCCAGTTGATATCCACTCTTGTAGGGGATAAGCAAGGACAGACTAGAGCTGAACTCCAGAAAAGGTACTGAGAACTGAGCAGACAGAAGTAACGTACACATTAAGCTTGTACTTTCCAGGGATGGTTTCCTACCCCAAATATGGATTTTCTAATTTGGTAACAAAATTAACATTATAACCACAATCTCATTATTATAAATATAGGAGAGTACAGTTCTCTGAAACAAAACCAAAACAAAAGTGCTAACGCTCGGATGAAAGATTGAAGACTAGATGCTAGGCAATAAGGTTTTCATAGTTCCTATAATGCCCTATAGTCCTCCATTAACTTCATCTATTTATCTTCTATATATCTCTTTCTCTCTCTCCCTTCTCCCCAACCCCCCCCCACTCTCATACACACACACACACACACACACACACACACACACACACACACACCACCTTATTCTAAAAAACACACACACAAAAAAAAAAATACACCCAGGAATTCAAACTATGATATAACAATTCACTTGTCCCTACCATACAAAGAGATTTTAGCTTTTTTTTTTTCCTCTTCTATAATCAACACAGACACTCTATATAAGAGATTCCCAAACTGTCTATGATTAAGAGTTAGCTAGGGAGCTTACTGAAATAAATCCCTGCCCTTATTCTGGTTCCTTCGATCTAGGCTAGGACTGGAAGTCTACATTTTTTAAACCATCATGATTCTAATGAACAGCTGGATAAGAACCATTATCCAGTCCATAGAATTTTATCTATAAAATTAATAAAAATAAAATGTACATATTACATAGGGATATTTTTCATATATTTCAAATCATCTAATATTAAATATAAGTAGGACTGATGCTCCTTCAGAATCCAAGGAAGACTACAAAACATAAAAAGGTAGAAAACAAAAGTTTCCTATCAGACAATATTATTCATTGCAAGAAATATTTCCCCATGTTTTTCTATATAGAGCTAAAAAGATAGATAAAAGAAGGAACTTGTCTTCCTGATAACCAATCAGGAGATTATGTTAAATGTGAACAGGAGCAACTGACAAAGATTAACAAAGCAAGGCTTTTATTATGAAAATGTTTTGATTCATTCCCTTAATTCAAAGAATAAATACTATAGTCCACAGAATTGTGCTAGACAATGTGAAGTTTACAAAAGTATAAGAAGACTCCTTAGCCCTGCTGGTTTGGCTCAGTGGTTGAGCATTGACCCATGAACCAAGAGGTCACTGGCTGATTCCCAACCAGGGCACATGCCCAGGTTTCGGGCTCAATCCCCCATAGGGGGCATGCAGGAGGCAGCCAATCAATGTTTCCCTCTCATCAATGTTTCTATCTCTCTCTCACTCTCCCTTCCTCTTTCTCTAAAATCAATAAAAACATTTTTTTTAAAAAAGAAGAAAAAGAGTCCTTGGGCATCTGGTGTGGAGGAATGGCAGTAAGAGGTAGGAATGACAGTGGGGCTTCATGGCCTTAAATGCTAGACTGACCACAGGGGATGGTCCTGATTAAGAAAAAAGAAAAATCAGGAAGATTTATCTGGCTCCATGTAGTAGAAAGAATAGGAGGCCTGGAGTCAAAAAGGCCGGGTTCGCACGCAGGCTCCATCTTTCTCTGCTCTGAGTCCCTGGGCAAATTTCTCAAAATACTCTATCTTCCCATGAGAGAGATAACTCCAACTCCCACACAAGGCTGCTGCCAGATACACAGTGAACACTCAATGCATGCTAGCTGAGCACTGCTATCCACAATCATAAACATAAATTTTGTCAAAATATTTGCTGCTTACTACATAGAAAAATGAATCTGTCAAGTTCTTTCCCTACATTGAACCTAAATCCATTCTGCTTCAATTAAAGTCTACATTGTCTTGTTTAGTCAGCCAAGGAATTAAAACTGACAAGTTTTCATTTTCATGATAAACTTCATATATTTAACAACATTTAATAAGCTTATGCCTCAGCCTTTAATCCTTCCTCCTCAGAAATTTGATCAGTTTTATGTGAGGAAAAGGAGTTTAGAAGGACAGAGGCTGCTTCTAGCCATAGAGTCTACCATGAAATGCTTAAACAATTGAGAGTTTCTGTTTCCTTAGCTGATTTTCTTCATAAAGCAGACTCACAAAACATTACCCCTAAACTAACCATTTATTAAAATATGCTGGGAGATCTGCCCAGCTATTTCGTACCCTAAGTCATGGGCAGGCCCCAAGGCAAAGAGCACGCGAGCCTGCAGGGCGTCAGCAAGTAGGCGGGCAGAAAGCCAAGCAGCCTCATGTCCCAGAACATTCTCTCCTTCCGGAAAGACAAAGTGGTGCTGCCAAGGCTCGTACCCCTCCTTACCAGAAAAGGTCTAATCGTCTGTTTAAAATTTATATATGACTCTTTTCTCCCACTTTCAACTTATGGTCAGAGCTGTTCATGGTTGTATCCTTCCCCAATCTCAAAACTTAAAACCAATCTAACAAGTAAGTTCCTAACACAGAGTCCCCTTGATATGGGGGGGGGGGGGGTTGGTTCTAGGAACATCCTCCCCACCCACAAATACTAAAATCCACGGATGCTCATGTCCCTCATATAAAATAGGGGGGTGTCTGCATATACCTACATACATCCTCCCTTATACTGTATATTAAATCAATTCTAGATTACTAATAATATTTAATACTATGTAAATGCTATGCAAATAGTTGTTATATTTTACTGTTTAGGGAGTGGGAGAAAATAAAAGTCTGCACATGTTCAGTACAGACACAACCATCACAGGCCTAACTA